TTTCAGAGTGGCTCGGCTTGACTTGGCGTGTTGAAAACCAAGTGTTTCACCTCATGTAAATTTTGAGCATTTCAGGAAAAAAAATACATCTGTGTTTCTTTCCTTAGCTGATACCAATTTCTCAGCTGTAAAAGAAAGCTCTCTCATCACCATGAATGTTTTCAATGTGGAAGCTTTCTAAAAAAAATAGAGGATTTGTGTGCCATGCGGTCAAGGATTCGCACTCTGTGTTTCATTAACTTCGCCACTGCAGTCCCCTTTGGTATAAAATGGATATGAAATCAATGAAGAGACTGACGAATAACGAAATCTCCCTGGCCCATCTCTGTGTGGCGAATATAAACGAATGTGTATGGGAATTATATCAACTATGAGAGGACCATGTAAATTACACACTCGACACTCTCAATGACACAGAGGAATGATTGCATAGGGCCATGAAGAGCCCTTAATTAGCCCTATATGAAGTCATTGAAGGGGGAAAATCACCTACAAGTATTCCCTGATACTTGGAATGCAGTTAATTTCACCAGTAGATAAATTGTTCAAAGAATTTGTATGATTCACTGTCAGCCCTGGTCTTCCTGATCATTTTTTTTTCTCATTTTAGAAAAGGAAACCATGTCAGACAACAGAGAGCCAACTACTTCGATATCTTTGAAGTACCCTTTAATCACAAGTCTTTAGTACAAGGGTTGCTTCAGCAGGAAGGCCACTGGGGATGGCACCACTTCAGCAAACGGAGAAATGAAGCCTCAGTGGCCTACACTGTGGTTAAACACCCCTATGTTCATAGCATCCCAGATCACCAGGGTTTCCCAGCTGACTCTTCACTTCTATGATGAGAGACAACAGAATTCCTGCTCTAACTGCATCTTATCCTGCAAGCTTTCTGAGGCAGGGGGATGGAAATTGCTGCACATTGTCAGCAAGATAAAGGAAATTTGAGGTGCTCATTTGTCTGTTGCTTGCCAAAGCCTGGCCTGGTTGCTTTAGAGGATATCATGTCTGTGGTCGTAGTGTTTATGGAGTCCCAGCACATCTTATGGGGAAGGGCCTAAAACCAGAATGCCTCTCAGCATTAGGCCCTTCTCCTTCAGGTTCTACATCACTGCTCCAAGGAATGTCCCCTAACCACTCTTTCCAAAGTCCCCCCGCAGTGTCCTTTTTATATACTATGTTCTATCACAGCCGAAAGTTCTCCTGCCATACAAGGCTAGCCCTCTGGTCTTACATTCTTTGAGGGTCAAAAACCCCTTTCCTGGTGTTTACCTCTGGTTTTCTTGAGCCTCTAATGCCTAAACAGAGTGCCCAGCAATGGTTGCTTGTTCTCCTCAGCCCTCTCACCCTCTGGCTCTCAGCTAAATGAATTTATGATGTTCGAGCTAGAGGCAACAGAGGAAGCATATAGATCAGAAGTTAACGACAGCATGGGCTCCCAGAAGGGAAAAGACAGGGCTTATGCAATATGGTAAAAGCATACCTGAGGTGGAAACAGCTTCCGGCTTGTAAACACACTTAATGACTCCGGAAACACCTGAGTCTACCTGATTATATTCCAGTTTTAATTAGCGTTTTGTAATTCTGATCGCACCTCTGGTATTTACAAAACTGCCACCAAAATTCCAGCACTGATACCAGTAGGAATATGCCCTGATGACCACCCTGAGCGATGTGGTGTTTCCAGAAATAAGAAGAACACCATTTGCATTTGAAAAACTGGCATTTGCGCTAGTTTTTTTGGTGGCAGCCAAAACTGCCTTCAGAGAGAAGGTGGAGGTGAGAGAAGGGAGAAGACGAGAGTGGAGGAGTGTGAATCCCTATGCATCATCTCTTTGGCTCAGTGCAGCAAAGCAGAGCAATTTTGTGTGTGCCACGATGATTAATGCCCTGGGACTCAGCGACAGCTTGTTTGCAAGATCCGAGAACCAACTTCTCATCCTGGGTGGGGAACCCAATGCGGATAGGCTCCTGAGACTGAGTGGAAAGAAAACGTTCTCTAAACAATAATTCAGTGATGGCCCAATGGAAAATAGTACTTAAACACTTCGTTAATGTGCAAGATTATTAGGTGTACACAATTGTTTGTGTTTTAATTTTTTAAAAAATGCATCAATAGCTTCTAAGAGGAAATGAAAGGAAACAACATTCTTTGCCATGTGACCAACAAAAACATTCACTTAGTGTTGGACTTTGTGCTTTGAGCACGTGCAGTCAGGTTCATATAAATGAGCGGGATTGAGTCTCAGAGTAATTTGAAAAAAGAGGTGGAATACGAAGTAGAAACTGGAGTATATTAACCATGAACGTGTTCTAATAAGAGCATATTCCTATACGAAGTTTCAGAAAGTCCAACTGAAAATAAAGCTGAACACTCCCAAACATCTAGAGCATAGAGGCAAAACAATAGCAAATGGACAAATCGCGTTAGCTGTTGCTGCTTGCCTCTGCCCCTAATTTATAATTTAGCATCAATGAGAAAGCCTGTCAATAGTGAAAACAGAGAGAACTTGCTAGACTGTACCCCAAGACTCATCCCTCTGAAAATATCTAATCAAGAATGTTTAAGAGACAAAGTGGAAATATAATAATGATCTATTTAAAAAAGAGCTTCTCTGAGAACTGACTCATTTGAGAAGCACTGTCTTTTCTCAACATGCTGCAACACAGAAGCACTGGCCTTCCTGCCATCGGGCTCCACGCGGCCCTGCATTGGACCAGCTAGCCAATAGGATTAACTGTTCTGAGGTGCGTATTTAATCTAAACACCCGTCCAACTCTACCCTGGGTTCAGCTGTGTGATCAGCTGCGGCACCTCCCACGCCGCCCGAGGAGCTGACCTCCCTTCTCTATCTGAATCTCTAGTCGGTTTCCTCTCCGCCTCCTTATCTTAAATAAGCCCTGCCTCTCAGGGTTATCTCTGTGTTTACTAGAAACAGTTCACGGCGTACACGAGGCCACGCCCCCATTCTGTCTAACTTGCCAGCTTCCATGTTGGGTTTCTTCTGATTCTCCCAACCTACTTTAAAAGCCAACTCAAGATACGAACACAGAAGTTTTCTAAGAAAACAGAATCCCAGGGACTGCTGTGTTTCTGAGTAATAGTCATTTGTAGAGTTGCGTCACCCAGGACAGTTAAATGTGATGGACGGTTCTCCGTAAAACTGAAAGTATAATATGTTCACTGTCCAGGTCCAGGTTTCCAGGAAGGAATGGACTCTTTGCACCTACAGCGCTGCTCCCCAGTTGGCTCAGGATGAAATCAGGCAGAGCCAGGTGTAGTGGTGGTCATCTTTTACCTCAGCACTCAGGGGGCAGAGACAGATGGATCTCAGCGTGGTCTATACACCGAGACCCTGTCTCTAATAAACATAAAATAGAGGCAGAAGGTAGAAGATCAGCTATGCCTATGATTTTATAGACAACCTCTGATCAGGGAGTAGAGTCATATGACATCATTCTGTCCCGTATAAATGATGAAGTCCACTGTGTCTGGCTAAATGTGACTATAGTGGTATGACTAATATAAAATAAGTTTTAGTATATTTTACTTTATAAGTCAGAATAAGATTACAACAAAACTGAATGAAAAGTTCAGAGTCCCATGTGTCCAGTCACCCCAGGCTCATGGCCTCGACCGTTTCCAACATCCTGCATCACGGTGGTGTAGAAGTAACAGCATCATCACCCAAATCCATAGTTCACATTACCGTTCACTCCTGCTGCTTTATATTCTACGCATTTGACAAATGTATAGTCATGAGCCATCAACACTGCAGCACTGTACAAAATGGTTTCTCTACCCTAAATTCCTCTGTATTCAGATCCACTGATTTCTGTTCCCTGCTAAACTTCTGACCTTTACTGTGCCCTCCTGCTGTCTCCACCACAATGTCATATTGCTCCGATTGTGTGTGTGTGTGTGTGTGTGTGTGAAACCTTTTCAAACTGCCTTGTTTTATCTAGCAACATGCCTCTAAGTCTCCTCAATGTTTTTCACACCCCAATAAACAAGAGACGTGACTTTTAGCTCTAACTAATATTCCACAGCCTGTGTCCATCACCATTTGTTTAGCCATTTGCTTGCTGCAGGATGCTGTAGTTTCTTCTGTGTCTTGGGAATTCTGCGCAAAATTACTCTAAATATATGCACGTGTGCATGCATGGGGCAGAGCATAGTTATCAACTTATTTGAAAAACACCAAGCAATCCTATTGCTGGATTTTATGCTAAGACCGTATCTAGCTCTGCAAGAAGCTGCCAGTCTCTCTTCCAAAGTGACTGTGCCATTCTGCAGGGCCACCAGCAATCAATGAAGGCTTTTGTTGTTCTAGCTCACTGTCTGAGCATGGGTCAACGACTGAGGATTCTACCACAGTGGCAGGGTGTACTGTTATCTCCGTGTTTTAACTGCAGTGTGATATTGATTACTGCCCATTCATCTCCCATTGGGGAACACGTTTTCAATCCTCTTGGACACCAAGTTTTAATCTTACTGTTGAGTCCTATGGGTTCTTGGAATAGATTTAAACTTGTAATGTTTCAGTCCGCCTGGTTCTGTTTCTACATACTGAGAGTGCAGACGAGCAGAGCCATGTCTTTCTGCATTGTCCTTCTCTCGACAGGGCTCTATACAGGTCTGAAAGCTTCAATTTTACATCAGTCAATACCCCCAAGTTCATAAATGTAATGGGTGATTGAGAATATATTTTCCTATTGACAGAGTTGGCAGTTATAGATGTCCAGTATCAGGATTAAAAGGAGGGACAACTGATAACACCTGGAGTAAGGCACCTTCTACAAAGCTTACCAAAGGATAGGTGTTCTCAACTTCCATGCCATAGTGTGACAACCCCTCCCCCTTTATTAGTCGAATCTAAGAGAAGACTAGGGAGGGGGAAGAACAAGGCAGCCTGAGTGGGGAGAAAAAGGAAGTATTACAAAAGTTTTTCCATCTACTCCAGAGGTCATGCCTCTCATCACTGAGTCAAGTACATGGGGCAACAAGAGAAGCATTCTTAAACCTGTAGAAAAGAAGAGTCAGCACTAGCTTTCACATCTGAACCTAAAATATCCTAAACAATCCTCCTGCCCATGTCTGAAAGAAAGAAAAAGATTTGGAAAAGAGAGAAGGTTCAGTCCTAGGCTACCCGCGTGCATGTGTCCTTGAGCCAAGCAACTTGGGGAAATAGCTAAGCTTGTGATACCCTGAGAAATTTCACCAAGGAGAGCTGATTGCTCACAAGGGACTCCAACAAGAGGATGACAAAGAATGATAACAAGAATGAAATCTTACTGGAGCCAGATCTGCAAACCATATACAAAGGATGCATCTGAGAACGTCTCAAGTAGGTGCTTTCTACACAGAGGGCCCCGGGCCGGGGGGGCGGGGGGGGGACGACAGGACATACTTTCTGAAGGACAGACTATAACTACACTATTAGATAAGAGGGACAAATAATTACCCTGTCATCCTTGGTCCAGTCACCTCACACTGTAGAAACCCAAGAGACGGGAAATTGCATCCCAGAAGGAGTAGATACCCAGAAGCCTCTGTTTGATTGGCAATACTGGAGGAAATACCTTTAAATTTAACTGAGATTGAAATTTTCATAATACTTAATTGTGTTGTTTTTGTGTTTTATAAAAAAAACTCAAGTATCTGCCAAAGGAAAAGAGAAATCTGGAAAAGTTTAAGTAATTGAAAAAGGAAATATTTGTTCCAATACCTAAGCTCCTGACAGGTTGACTATTCAGTTACCTCTTCAATAAAAGTAGAAACAACATGAAATAGCCATCTCTTCCACTGAAGAGATCACAAGTGAAAACTGAATTAGTCCCTTAGCTATTAACTTTGCATTTACAATAAGGTGAAGTAAAAATTTTGAATCAAAGAACAACCTGAGCAGGATTGACAGTGGGGCTCAGAATAGCACATTTGCAGTGTGCTATAGGATTAGAAACAGATTATGGAAAAGGAAAGCCATAGACTCAAACTTTGACTCTAATTTGAGGTAGAGTAGAATAATTTATCCATCCATACATACATACATACATACATATATATTCATATCAATACAATAATGTGATTCCCATAACAGAAAGACCCTAGCAAACCCGAATGATATCTAACGCTGTGGTAGGCTTCTAATTTGCTGGGCAGGATGTGACATGAAGAAATTTGCTAGCTAGGAACTTTGCAACTTTGTATCTACTAGGTAAGGGGTCTGGTTAGATAGGCAGGGAGCAGACAAATGGAATGGCTTGAAGCTACTGAGAGAGCATTATTATAAGCTCAGAACATAGAATGATGTAATTGACATAGCCCTGTTCTTTCTTACTAAAGAAGTAACTGAGGCAAGAAGAAATGGTACCACTGTAAATTATACAGAGACAAATCTAGATAGAATTTCTATTTTACTGTCTCTTCATTATATTTGAAGGTTCTCTGGAAATAATTTGAAACAAATTAATGTCGCGTTAAATTTTTTATGTAGAAATGCTGAAATGTTTTCCAGCTGTTTGGTATTTCATTTCAAATTCATGAGGAACCAGCAACAGCAATTCCTTCTGGTGGGGTTTCTAACACAGTGGAACCCAGCAGATGACAGAAATTCAAAAACGGTGGCTACTTTTGTCAGCCCTTTTGTCTGAAATACCTTCAGTGATTGTGAAAATGAGAATGTACTAATAACAGCTAGAAATAGAAAAGCACTGGTAATGTGCTAAGAACTGTATACTTGCCGGGAGGTGGAGACACATGCCTTTAGTTCCTGCTCTCAGGAGACAGAAACAGGTGGATGTCTGTGAGTTCGAGGTCATCCTGATCTACAATAACTAGTTTCGGGACGGGGTCCAAAGCTACACAGAGAAATCCTATCTCAAAAAAAACCAAAAGAAAAAGAAATGAAGGAAGAAAGGAAGAAAAGAAGGAAGAAAACTATATACTTAAGTTAAAAATTTTGTTTGTGGAAACTAAAAAAATTAATATTTCAAACAAAATTTCTCATGCAAGAACTGTTCTGTCAGTGGAAAAATGTAAATAAGAATTTAATACTCCATGCTAGAGTAGATGGCAACTGAAGGAGAAAACTGAAGTCTGGATGAGGAGAAGCTGGGACAATGCGGCACTGCACCCCACTGACCCCCAAGTTCTGTATGTGTAAGTTTGTTGAAAATGGCCAGATTGTATGAGCTCCCCCAATTCTATTTTTGTCTTTAAGAAAAGCACCTGAGACATCAGTGCTGTTTGTTTTACTCTAGGAGCTGCGATTCCAAGAGTAACGTGGGATCAACCGCACAGGAGCCGGCCACACACACTGAGCACAGCATTGCCAGCTTCTTTAACTTGATCCCAGGACTCTTCCTTTATCTTACCATATTTCTCTTCACGCATCATCTCCACACATGGTGAGTGGTAGACATGAACAAATCACAGAATTGGAAGTTCTTCACTTTGTTCTCTTTTAGTGGCTCTCACAATGATCCTCCCAAGGAAAATCAATTGAACTATTGACGGAAATACCATTGCCAGATCAATTATAATTGCAGCTACTGGTGCCATCTTGGTTGCTCACTATTATTCTTAGGGGGAAAAGCATGTGCTGGTGAGGAAATGTGTCTCCTATTTAGATCATGGCTTTCAGTGGTGTAGATCTAACCCAGGACCTCAAATATGCTAGGGCAGCATACTAGCCCTGAGCTATAGCCCCAGGACTATCCTCATCCACTGTCCAGAATAGGATCTACTCACAAACACTGGCTTTTGGCCCTCACAGCCTAAGATCTAGTCCCCTAGTTGTGGATACCCTATCTGTGCTATTTTCCTGCCACACAGGGCACACCTGACATTTCTCTTCTAACATTTGCTAACTGTTTTTATTATATGGTGGCTAGAGAATCTGCATAATTTTCTGTCAAAGCAGCACTGTCTAGCTGAGAGTGTGGTGGTTCATTCCCAGCACCCTGGCAGTAGAAGGGTAATGAACAGGAATGAAAGGCCAGCCTGGAATAGAATGAGAACCTATCTTTAGAGGAAAGAAATAAGAAAAGATATGAGAGTAACCTGGAGAGGTAGTTCGGTGTGTAAAGTACACAGTGACACATTGTGCAAATATGAGGACCTGAGTTCTGATCCCGGTGCCTCCATGAAAGCTCGGCATGGCAATGCAGGCTTGTAGCCCGTGTGCCTGGTGAAAAAGACTGGTAGATCCATAGGGATCATTGGCCAAGCGGTCTAATTCAAAATGGAAAGTTCAAGGTCCAGTGAGAGATCCTGTGTTAAAAATAATCAAGTAGAGAAGTGATCAAGAAAGACATCTTCACATCAACCTCTGACCTCCACATGTTTCTATATATGTCAGCACATTCAGACACATACACGTGCACATGTACACACACACACACACACACACACACGCACACACACGCACGTTGAAATGAAAAAGAGGCATGCTTTTCAATGCCTGTATTCATTACAAAATAAAGATTCTTAGAGGCATACATTCTCCACCACAGACTTGCAGACTCAAAACTGCCAGGGCTGAGATGCAGGGCCACCACTAACTTAAATGTTTCCCAGGGGGCTACATGTATCAGTCTGAGATCCACTGTGCTGTGCCTTTCTTGTAAGACAGGAAAGAGTCCTTAACCAAGGCTCTCTGGACACAGTGGCCTGACCCCTGGTGGTCTAACCCTAAATGTAACTCAGACACAACAGGGCTTAAGGGAACCCTGTGTCTGGCTTAAAGTAAACCTTTTTTGCTGGTAACTTGACTGTCGGTTGTTCCTGGCTGAGCTCTGAGCATCTCAGTCAGGCCTGTCTCACAGAGAGCATCTAAAAGCAAGGAATTTGCTGGCTTGTACTTGTAGCAGCCACAAAAAGCGATAGCCTGTCAATTAAAATGTTTAATTGACTGTTCTCTGCAGTTGATACGGGGTGGAAAGGACCAGAAAAGCTGATGTCCACACACACACATGCATGTACACACACACATGCATGTACACACACACATCCATATATACACGTACACATGTGCACACAGAGTATATTCTCACTAGTTGAAGTGGCCTATTTAAATCATCAGAATACCATGTTTGAGTTCTGGTGTGTAGTCAGTTTCTGCTTGACTTCTAATCAGCTCTTTAGAACTGACTCTTGTTGCTGCCCTTCTGGCAGTGATGACACAATCCCATATTCATTAAACCTTTCTGACTGTGATAAAAAATATTATCTACATGTCATAAGCTCAACACTTCCCCTGACACAAGATATACCCACCAACAAATCCACTGGCCATATGTTATTTTATATATACATATGTGTATATACATTCATATATATATATATATATATATAAACAGATCTTCAAGCAAAGCATGGAAATCCAAAATATTTAGAAAAGAAACCCCAAAGAGCGAGTCACCTTACTAAGCACACAAATGAAAAAATCGCAGCAATAACTTATTTATCATAATACACAATACTTCATTAAAATGTGTTCAATTTCTCCTCTCCCTCAAATCAACTAGAGTAATGCGTGCTGAGACGCAATCCCCGTTTTTCCCACTCAAACTTACCATAAGACTGTAGTAGGCAAACGTCAATGAGCTCACCTCCTGCTCTCAAAGCCAGAACCAATGAGGTCTAGGTCAACTCCATCCATGGGAATTCACAGCCCCCTGCAATGCCACGAGACACTTACAGAGAGAAAAGGCAAGAGTCTGGCCCTAGCTCCTTCTACCCACCTCATTTTCCCTCAAGGATAGCCCATCTATTCTTTCACAGGGGGGACTAGCATCATAAATAGACAGAAAATAAATAAACAAAAAAGTCAATGCTGCCTATGCGAGTCCGCAGTCCTGTCCAAATAGGGAATTTGCTCACTGATGAATCAAGGGGGAGAGAAAGCATTTCCTATCTGAGGTGCCTCCCAAGCAGATGTTTTTCTCGTGGCTTTTTTTCATGTGGACAGGGAGCTTTTAGAACGCCAGAGCTGCTTATTACCCTCTATGTACAAATTTTACTTTATGTGTTTCTGTTTTTCAGGTATAGAATGAATGTGTCCCAGTTAGAAGGAAGTTTGTGTTTATATATTTTTTTTAATCTAAAGACCTGCTTCTAGTTAACTTTGTAGCATTCAGTTAAAGCCAGACAGACTTACCTGAGTTTTTCCTTGAAGCAGAGCAAGCATCATTTTTTTTTTTTTGGTGGTCTGTCGCTTTAACAGAATACCATGTTGGTTTTTGCCCACATGACATTCATTTCCAGTCCTTAGAAACAGTTTCGAGAGAGCAAATGCGCCACATGGACAGCAGTTATGGTATAAATATGTATTATGGAAAATTTCCACCCACACAGAGAACCTCACGGTCTGCGTTAGAAAACAAGTGCCTTCAATGCAGAAAATAGGCGTTGTTGCTGCCTTTAAAGCAAGCTCTTCCACAGGGAGCCGTTCTATTTATCTGCAGCCAGCAACTGCACTGCTTTGAAAGCTTTACTGTGTGTCATTAGCTGAAACTTAATCTGTCACAACCTCTGGGTTCAAAACCTCTTTTGTTTGAAATTACTCCGATGGGCATCCATTCTCCGTAGAAACCATAGCTTTGCCCACCAAAGGACATGTCACCTTTGTAATCGTCACCTTCCTAAACCTAAGACAGTGTGTTTTCAGGTGGTGGCAAACAGGTAAGGAACCACGACCACCTTAGCCGACCATATGCAGACTTACACACTGCTGTTTGCAGTCATGAAACATGAAGAGTGAAAACTGTAGGGAAAGAAATTATAATAGATAGAAGTCTTGCCATATAAAAGAGATCTAGCTTTTAAGTACTTTATAACAGAACTAAGATCCAGACATTCGTCAGGGCATATGTGTAATCCACTTAAAACCCACAGAGGCAACTTTGGCGTATACTGTCTCTACACCTCTGTTGTTTGTCCGGCTGGACTGAGCTTGATGCTGCCTCATGGAAGAGTGTGCATTCCATAGCTTCTCCCACGGCCTACCAGGCTCCTGCACCCCTCTTGACACCGATCTCTCTAATAAACGTCAATAAAAACCCCTTATTTCCACTTCTCCAGGCTTTCCCCTGAGTCCTTAAAGAATCTGTGAAAAGTTTACTCCGTTCCCACCCTGTCGAACCTACCTGTGCCGGGAGCAGTCTACAGGAGGCAGGAAAGACTGGATTAATGGGAGAGCCCAGCCTTGTGTAGAGGGAGGGCACAATCCTGGCAGCTGGAGGATGGAAACGGGAGGAATTCGTGTACCTTGGCAAGTATGGTCCGGTGCCAACCAAAACATTCTTTTTTTTTTCCAAGAAGTTCAAAGCACTTTGTAAACATTAACCCGTGAGGCTAAGTAGTCATGAAGTAACTGTTACTTGAAAACGCCCTTAAGATAGCAACTGCAAGCCAACTCGTTAAAAGGGCCACACTGTTGCTTCCTTATTTCTCAATATTTACTGAGCCCCTACTGTGTGCAGGGCACTGAGGGTAAAAGGACTCCTGGGGGTTTTCAGATAGTTCCTGGTTCCTTTGCTTGTCTGCCCGTGTCAGTAAGTATCAAAATATGACTTATTAGTCTTATTTCCATTTTATTTTGGTCAAGCCGTTTAATAAAATGTGCTCCGTTCTCTAGAATGTTCTTAATGTGCTGAGTGCTGAGCAAGCACAGGAGAAAAGTATTTAAATTTTCTGTAAATCTCATTACAACTACAAAAATTGAGAAATACAAATTTGGAATGCTTCCTCTTAAGAAGTCGTAAACAGAGGTTTAGAATGGATAGTCTTTGTTTCTTTCAGTGCTTGTGGGATTGCTATAGGAGACAAGAATTCAGGTCGTCGTTGCTATGCTGAGCTGTTTACATAAATAACCTACATTTCTGTTGAACCAGATAAGCCAACAGGATTGGTGAAGCACAGCCTTTGTCCTCGGGACTCTTCCTGCTACTTTATGTCACAAAATAGCAATTGAGGTATAGAAAATGACGGAGACCATTTCTAAATTGTCCTCAGACAATAAACTGCACACAAAGTGTATGGCTAATGTGAGGTGAGCAGGACAAAGGGGCTGGTGTTCCTTTTCGGAATACATGACCTTCTATTGAATAAAAAGGGATTCTCCCTGATGTCTTTACTGATCAATACAAGGCTAGGATTCTCTTGCATTCAGGGAGTCAACAGCACAGCTCAGTTATCAGCAATCAAAGAGATTGCTGCGGATCTCTGGCAGAAACTTAGATGTATTTTAAAAGTCAAAAGACAGTGTAATACCATTCACAAGTGCTCTTTTCTCCCTGATAAGTGCTTGCCTGACTAGATAACACACCAAGAAAGTAAAATATTGATCCGTCATTTAAGATCACACACACACACACACACACACACGCACACACACACACACACACACCCTTTGTTGACATAGAAACTACCATTCTCAAAGTGCAATTGAAGTTCAATTGACAAACCAAGAAGGCATTGAAAACAAAAGCTGGTCAAGAAGAGGAGAGAGGGGACCTCGTCCACACTGTTAGAGGGAATGTAAACTTGTAAAGCTATTGTGGAAAACGCTATGGAACTTCCTCAGAAAAGCCAGAAATAGAACTCTCGCATGACCCAGCAATCCCACTACTGGGTATATATCCAAAGAAAATAAGGAAATGAAATCAGCATGCCAAGGAGCCAAGAAACAGAATCAGCCACGGTTGCCACCAACAGATGAATGAATAAAGAAAGTGCGGTGTGTACACACAATGCAGTGTTATTCAACAGCAACAAAAAGAACAAAGCTCTGCCATTTGCAAAGACACCAATGAAACCAGGGGACATTATATGCAGGGAAATAAGCCAGAGATAGGTGATAAGTATAGTATACGCAAACAAATCTGGGAAAAAAAGTATCTGTAGGTAATAAAGCCTGGAAATTAAAGTGAGCCTGGGAGAAGCAGGAGGTGAATGGTGCGGGGTTCGGTTGTTCAAGGGGAGTAATTCTATCATTTGATAACAGAGCAGGAATACTATTTGATGTCATCTGATTGCATCACTCAAAACACATAATGGAAAGGATTTGGAAAGTTATCAACTCAAAGGAATAATAAATGAGTAAATAAGTATGTCAGTCATTCCAATCAGATCATTAAACATTGTAAAGATATAGTATAATCCTGCATTATGTCTCATAAATATATGCTCTGCATAAACATGTATCAGAATTGGTAAACAATAGCATTCAGAAAAAAAAATATTTTAAGATGCCTTCTGATTATTGTTTAAGGAGGCCTCTTGGTGGTTCCCAGCTGCTCAGCCCTGAAATTATCACACAGAAACTGTATTATTTAAAATACTGCTTGGTCAATGACTCTAGTGTATTTCTGGCTAACTCATATCCTAAACTAACCCATCTCCATTAATCTGTGTAATGCCACGTGGCTGTGGCTTATGGAGTAAAGTTTCGTCCAGCATCTGTCTCTGACGGGACTACATGGTTTCTCTCTGACTCTGCCCTTCTTTCTCCCAGCATTCAGTTTAGTTTCCCCACCTAGCTAAATTCCGCCTTGCTATAGGTCCAAAACAGTTTCTTTATTCATTAATGGTAATCATCACAGGATACATAGGGGACTCACATATCAGCTTATTTCCTCCCTAGTTCCCTTATCAACAGTCTATTGTATATTTATTTACATAAAAGATACCTATCTGGGAACTCCACATTTTATATGTTGAGTGTATCATTTCTCTGTCTTCAACAACTACTGTAAAAACTATGTTGAACTTGGACTCTCTAGAGCACACCAATATAGCCCTTGCTGAGACAGGCAAGGTGGTCAATTGTACGTACTTACCCTTCAGTTGGGCAGTCCGGAGCGATTCTAAGAAAGCTTTTATTAAGCAGAACTGCCAATGTAGACAACAAAATCAGCCACACAAATCAAGTTACAAACAGATCTGTTGCTTTTTATCAAAGAATGACTGAATTAATCTCATCACCGCCAGTTGCTCGCTACCCCTAAGGTGGCCAGCAGCTCACGAGCTAGGCAACCTGCTGTCTATTCTTGTTATAGTGACGGCACTGAAAAAAACACACCCGTGGGGCTGGTGCTGGACCGTGAGGAACAGCTAAGTGTCCCACGGCACTGGGAGTGCCAACTGAAGCCACTTCTTTCTGGGTTTAAAGTCAAAAAGAGAGCAGAGAGAAAGCCCAAGGAGGACTGAGACAGGGGAAAGGACAGTCTTGGGAGAGATTGGCTACTGTAAAAGATGATTCTTTGTGCTGATTTCACCGATTTTAAATAAAAGCGAGAAGTAGATATGTGTGTACGGATTGTCTAGGACAACACGGTCGGCGGTGGCTGATCGATACAGAGTACCATGTTAGAAGGAGTCATTTTAGTCTCTAGGCTTTTATTAGCATCTGAATCTGTTTTACCCAAGCTGAATTTTAGGATATTACTAGTTCCCCATGCTGTTAACACGGAGCCCTTAGCTCCCTGTGTGAACTGTGCGTCATAGGCGCAGGTGTGCTGCAATTAAACTCCACACTTGCCTTGAGCGTGGGGAAACGCTAAGGTGTTTTGGGGGCCCCCACGGCAGCATTTTATCGCAGCTCCACCTCTTATTCCAGACAGGCTGAGGCCCAGAGAGCTTTAACACCTCAGGGAATTAGTTCATCAACCCCAGCTCTCCTGGGGCTTTTCCTGCCATATCACAACCCTATGTGACTACTTTAAAAACCATTAGAGATTCAGTTTTGATTGTTTACATATCTCTGGGAATGATGGCGTAGGGTGTTTATCATGCAGGGCGGAATGCATTTGATGCACATAGATGTTTGTCTCGACTACCTGGAAATCCTCTGAGAACGAAGCCATCACATAAGGAATGCATCCCCTGATTAATTAAAACCTCATCAGCATGCAAGCAAATATTTATTTTCAGATAAACCTCAATGCTTCCAGCCTTAATTAATTCTTGATAAGGCAATGCAGACTCATTTTTCTAGCCAGATCCAGCAGAGGGCAGGATGCTCCCACCAAGGGCCAGCTGGCTACAGCCTCTAGCCAGAGCACTGCAACTCTTTAGCGGAGGAGAGTATTTTTCTGGTATCAAAGCAGCCTTTACTTTCTTACGGGGATCTGAGTAAGTCTGTCATCAACTGGAAAAACATAGTTGTAGGCCATGGAATTGGAGGTGGGAGGAGGTTTGCTTTAGAGCATGCTTACGTTGTGTTTGGACAGGTAGCAGATTCCTGTTTTGTTAAAGAAGGCACTGAGAGACTCTGACTGCATGTTGTCTGGGGCACAGTTGAGTTGCTCTGGTCCCACGTCCTGCCTCGGTGCGACCACTCACCATGGACTCACTCTTCCTCTGCCCTTGGAAACCTGTAACAGCGTCCTCCTCCATGGCTTCCTGTCTGCTGTCCCTGCACAGCCCCCTTGGATAGGACAAGAGCTCCGTTAGCACAGCTCAGGTGTGAGGACAGGTGTGGAGGTGTGGAGGGCCGGACCACATTCTCCATTGCTTCTAGGAACAAAGGTAGAGATTGACCTCTGTGACCTCAAGGTGTGGCGGTACACGCCTTTAGTCCTGATGCCTGGGCGGCAGAGGCAGATTGACCTCTGCAACCTCAAGGCGTGGTAGTACACGCCTTTGGTCCCGATGCCTGGGGGGCAGAGACAGGCAGACCTCTGTGAGTTCAAGGTGATGTAGCACATGCCTTTAATCCCAGCGCACGTGCTTGGTAACTCTCTACCGCTGCGTCCCTGCCTACTCCCGAGGCATCATCTGGGATAATGGGCAGCGGACCAATCCAAGAGTGACACATCAGAAGCGAGGACTGTTTCCTTTATAAGGGCTGGGTTCCCCTCATTCTGGGTCTCTGCTTTGGAAGCTGATGCTCTCCCTCTCAAGACGCATTCAAGCTTTACTGCAGAAGGATCCTAAGTGCCCCGCGTCGTTCTTGCTGGCGAGAAGGTAGCGCGGGACATGGAGGTCCTGCCCCATGTTTGTGATGGAAGGCACCAGGTGGAGGTTTTGTGCCAGGCTGTGAGTCTCACAAGGTAGTTACCATGTCTTCTAGTCTAGGGACACGCAAGACACATGACAACAAAGATGCCAAGCCGTGAACTAGAAGGGAGCACTGCGAAAGCTTCCTGGGTAGGGCGTTGACTGGGAGG